AGCCATTTTTGTTGATCGCTATGCTTCATCTCGTTTGATCACGTTTTTTTCGTGAACGCTAGCGTCATGGTTCTTCTTGCGAAAGATATTTAGATTTTTCCTTCTTGTTTGATCAAGTTTTTTTCATGGATGTTAGCGTCATGGTTTTTCGCGGAAGCTTTTTTTTTAATGGAATTTAGTAAAATCCTTTAGCAAAAATGCGAAAATGCTTTGTTGAATTTTAGCATTTTTGAGGGGTCTTTTCGCATTTTGCGAAAAAAGCTACCGTAGCGGAAACCCTGCCCCTAAGTACACTGAGTAAGGATTTTGATGTACTTATAATTAAACTAGCTAAACAAAAACAACAAATTTAATAAAACAAAATAAGTAGGATCACGAACACATTCCCAAGCGAGTACAGACAGGGCACGCCTAAAAAAGAAAGTAAATCAGTTCTTGTTTATTTTTCCCTCTCAAGTTTCATTTTCCCTTTTTTGCTCTGAATCTCACTTACTGCTTACTTTAAGCATTTACTGGTGTTAACAAAGCTCACCAAAAGGAGAAAATTGAGTTTGATGAAATTATTAAAATAAATCTAATAGAAAATAAATAATGTTGAGAAAATATAGTAAAGTAACACAAAGAAGAAAATAATGTTCTTTATCAGAAAAATTATATAAATTCAGTAATTTTATCCTAATTATCATAGGCCAGAAAAACACAGTATATTTTATGTACTTTTCGTAGACTTCATAAAACTCAATATTGCAATTTAGTTAGAGAACTAGAAGACATTGAGACACCATGATTAGGAGAGGAACCAATTGTTGACTTTATGTAACATCGATTCAACTTAAAATAACGATGTGGTGAACATTTTGCTAGACATTGACTACTCTGAGATAATATTAATTGGTGAATACCGTTGCAATTCGTTCGCAAGTATACGCATAAAGTAGGTGTAAAGAGAAAAGCTTTACTTAGCAATGAAACTATATTTAATCAAATAAAACATAAAATTTCAGTTAAAATTAAAAAGATAAATATAACACTAAGGTGGGGCTATATAAATGTAGTAAAATAGAGGTAACTTACATATACGTGTTAACTCTACACTATTTCTCAGACTTTAACAATAATACGAAAATATACAGGATTATGAATAACTATAAACAACAGATAGAAATTTGGATGTTTTGCCGAACACATAACAGATTAGAAACATTCATAATAGGCTATACAATAAGTTCGAAAAAAGTAAACAAATACGCCGATTGAAAATCTAAGCCTAGGTGTTAATATAAAAGGTTACAATAATTGCCAAAAATCTAACATATTTTAGATTAATAAAAAGAATATTACCATCCTCCTCATCCCTTTTATCCCGTTTTAAAGCATACATTATTAACAACTACTAATCAAAGAAACCAAATACTACGACTCCACGTCAAAAGTCAATACACGACATCGTAAGCCGAAACTTATATCGATTACACAGCTTGGAAATAGGGCTATATCAAAACAAATATTTTAATTAGACTTGCTTAAAGCTTATATGGAGAAATTTGTTTGAGAAGAGCTTTCGGTTGTTCCCCTCTTCCCTCCCCCCTTTGGAATTAAAGGTGTTTTGATTATTTTTTTTATAATCAGTAAATTTCAGGACATTTTAGTTCAGCTACTTTGATAAATTAGGTCTCCAAGAATCCATATTTCAGACGGTGTCGTTTATGTTTTGCGTGGAAACACATCCATTAAGCTACTCTATTGTTATTCGCTGTCGCAGCACACGAATGCGCCATCTGAGCTGAAAATCGGTTCCATGTTTTGACACTCGCATGTTTTGACATCTCTCGTCCTCTTCTAAGTTGTATGGGAATGTACTATGCACAATGATATTTTCCGCATAGTTTCCTTATTATATGGAACTTAAAACTGTAAAACTTCTTTTTATACAAAAACAACATTCATATTATTTAATCAGAAATAATGGCAGGCAAATATATTTTCCATAATCTTTCATTAGGAAAAGAACAAATTAAAAAACTCATACATTAAAAAATAAATGTCTAATTTATGTAAAATGAAATTAAGTGAAAACGTTGTACAATTTTGTAAATGCGATATTTTTTAAGAAAAAAAAAGCGTTTTATTTTCCAAATTTAGAAATCGAAAAATTTTTTTCTCTGCTGTGTTCGTAGGGTTGAGGTGGAGAAAATGAGGTATGAGTATACTAAGTAAATTAGACTGTAAAGTAGACATAATAATAAGTAAACTACTTAGTATTATTGGTAAAGTACAGACTAAGTAAAATCACAATGGCGATAATACTGACGCGAGGTTGTTCAAACTCGAGAATCACTTTCACTAATTGGTTTATTTTATATAAATACAAATAAATAATATACATGGCTATTATGTACATAAATAATGATGGCTGTACACAAAACAAAACGATTACAAAATAGTGAAAATCAATTTGTACATTAATGTGGATGAAATCTGATATAACATAAGTAGGACTTAAAAAATATGATTACTTAAAAAAAATGATTACGCAAAAAAAAAAAAAAAAAAAAAAAAAAAAAAAAAAAAAAAAAAAAGCGGCTACGCAAAAATTATTACTAAAAAACGATTACGCAAAAAAAAAAAGACTACGTAAAAAATGCTTACGTGAAAAATGTTGTTTTTCTAACATTTAGAAACTTTTTCTTTTCCTTTTTTTACTAATGGCGGGCACTTGGGAGTTGTCCCATTGGCCACAGAGATGCCAGAACTGCTACTCTGTTCTCGTTACCCAGTGTGCACCTGGAGCAGCGTCACCCACGTCACCTGGAGCAGGCGGGGGAGCAGCGTCGTCCACGTCATACAAACACAAACCCGCACCGTCAGGGCGGGTCACATTCACGCAATCACACACAAAGGAAAAAGGACATAGAACACAGAGAGAAAGAAACATCCATGCCCTGAGCAGGATTCGAACACGCGACCAGCGGCTACGCAGTCAGGCACGCTAGCCACTCGATCACCAGGTCGGCTACACTTAAAAACCTGTAGAGTTATAAATAAATATTAATTTTTGCAATAATTGCACTTATATTCAGTTGAAATTTTTTTCTTTCATAGCATAAATTTAAGTCTTAGCAATTTTAGTGATGAGTTGTTTAAGAGGCAGTTTTATTTTTAAGATTTATTTCGTAAGGAGTTTAAGTCTGGTTTAAACTGTTATTCATTTACAATTTCAGTAATTTTTAAATGAAATTTTTAAATTTGTTTCATCTCAATTGATCATTTCTTTCAGAATTATTAGTCACTTCTATGGTCAATCCACACCTATGGTTTACTACATGTAAATAAGTGTCAAAAGTAACGAAATGAATTCGAACTACTCTATACGCAGGTCAGGAATTTTTTATGTTTTGTGGATTGGTTTTGGTTAATACACTTTTCACACCATAGTTGTCTACACATTGTAAATATTCATCTAGACTGAGCTAGATATTTTAGATCTTCGCCAATCAATCGTTTTTTTAGTGCCATCTTTCAATCTTTTTTTATTGTAAATACTCTTAAAAATTTTCTAAATATCATTTAATTAAAACTATTTAAATTTGGACTATAATATTCCAAATTATGAGTGTATAGAAGCAAACAGATTTACACAAATTTTAATACTAACTGTTTATTTTTTACTCTTTAAACCTTCTCAGTCAACGCTTTTCTTTAAATGAATCAAAATTGCAAAATAATAATAATAAATAAATAAATAAAAAATAATAACAAAAATAATTGTTAAGTGCAAAAATATAATTTTTGTAATAAAAAATTTATGCGTATACAGAACATTTCCAAGTACAGTTCTTTAGACCAGGTACACAGATATCCTCATTGAATTGTAAAACTTTTGAAGAACGTCTTTCTTTACTCAAAATTTGACAAATTCTAAAGATCTGTGGGACATTTTATGAAGTCTTCGAGAAGATGGTAAGACTTAAATTCTGTTATTTCATTGTCTATTTAAAGTCATTATCCTTTAGGCTAATATAATTGAAAACATCGGGTGATCACTGTCTTCAGAATTGCTTATCTTAAGTGTTAATTTTTGCCAGACAAATCCTAATTTAGAATGTTGACACAATAGTTAGGAGCCACTAGTATTCTAATTTTGAAGTGTTTTAAAATTCAATGCTTTCAAATTAAGAAAATTTATAGATGTAATTTCTTATTAGCATGTTTTTCACTAATTTCTTCTTTTAAGATAAAAAGTGAGCTATTTTAAAAAAACGAGAATTTCGAAATTTTTACCTGGTTCTATTTTATAAACTAATTTTTTGTTTTGCGGTTTTTGCGAAACTTCTCATTCTATTGAATACATTTAATCTTGGAAGCAATTTTTAACAATCATCATTTTAAAACTTCGTTGAATTGCTTAGGGTATAAGCATTTAAAGTAGCCCTCGATAAACGAAATTGCGAGGAAAACAATGTTTCTTAATATTGTAATGAATCCAATTTAATAACTAATGAAAAAGTCAGATTTGAAAATCCTAAATTCAAAATTTCAAGCAATTTTCTATGCATCTTTTTTAAATTTTGTTATTTATATAGGGCAACATGATACATGAAGAATCAATACCTTAAAGTTATACTTGATTCATAAGTTTCTGATTTTGAGTTTATCATAAACTGAATTTAAAACCAACTTCAGTATGAAATTTATAGTGCAAATTTCTAATTAAAGTTTTAGGGCATTGATAAAACATAAAATTTGTTTTATTTCACGTTAAACCTGATTTTTTAGTTATGAAAAAGAAATGGAGCTTGCAAAAAAAAANAAAAATACTTAAAGCTAGTTAACTCGAAAAAGATCCTATCTCAGAAGTGAAGGATTTTATATGAACGGGGGTAAAAACCTAAATTGGATTTTTTCTTTCAAATTTAATCGCGCAATTAACCCTTTTTAAGTTTACAGACTTTAACTTACATTAAAATGAGTTGATAAATAAATTCAAAAATAAGTACTTCTAAGTAATTCTTAGTGTATGTTTAACTTAAATCCAAAGATTTTTAGCATTGGTGCAATTGCAGTTGAGCTTAAAATTTAATAAAACAAAATGTCTACTTGTTTTTAAGAATTTTAACGTACTTTAAAATTAATGTCAAAATTGTATGTTCAAGTAGCTAACTGCATAGTCAAACTGCATATGGTAAATGAATCAATGCCTTTTATACTCATAAGTTTCTGATTTTGAGTATATCAGAAACTGAGCCTAAAACCACAGCGTTCGGTACGAAATTTATAGAGCGAATTCCTAATTAGACAGTTTTAAGGCATTGATAAGACTTACAATATGTTTACTTTCACGTTAAGGCTGATTTTCAGTTATGAAAAAGTTGTTGTTGTTGTAGTTAATTTACGTCGCACTAGAACTGTAAGATGGGCTATTGGCGACGGTCTGGGAAACACCCCGGAGGATGATCCGAAGACATGCCATCACAATTTTGATCCTCTGCAGAGGGGATGGCACCCCCGCTTCGGTAGCCCGACGACCAGCACGCGAGGTCGAGCACTTTACGGTACAACAGTTTAACGAGGACCAATACAGCACAACCTCGGTCCCTACGCAGACTGATCCAAGTGTTCACCCACCCGCATACTGACCGTAGCCAGTGATGCTTGACTTCGGTGATATGCTGGGAATCGTGTCTTAACGATTAGTCCACTGCGGGACCAGTTATGAAAAAAAATGGACTTAGCTGTAAATCTATTTTTTTTTATTAATTTAATTCTAAAGTCCCTTGCGCAGAAGTGAAGGAGAATATATAAATGTAAAAACCCAAATACGATTTTTACTTTTAAACTTAATAATATAATTAAAACATTGTTATTAGTCTATATTCAGGGGTGGCGAACCTTTATGCACCAGCGTGCCATTTTTTTTAAAAAATTGTTTAATTTGGTCATAGACGTGCCATCAAACAATTTTGACTTCGTGCTTATTGGGAAAATAATAACACTAAATGCTATCAACTCAAAACTCTTTATTTACTATGGAAAAGAATACATTTCGCAATGTCTCAGTTATACGCTTAATTCAACTTAAAGTAACATCAGTGTGACTTCTGTTGTTGCAGATTAGAAGACAAATAACTTATATTAGGTTGCAAGATGTTATTTCAAGCAGGTCTGTTAATTTTTTTTTTGCAAGTTATTTATTGTTAGCTTGTTTTTTATGGTAATTAATTGTTTTTTGGCATTAATTGTAATTTTTTTGTGAATAATTGTTTATTTTTTTATGTTTGTTTTTGTGAATTTTAATTTAATTGGTAAATTGCTTCACAGTGAACTTCGTGATCGGTGGCGTGCCCAAAATATTATGTGGCGTGCCATAAGTGGCACGCGTGCCATTGGTTCGCCATCCCTTATCTGTATACTTGCATTAAAATGAGTTGATAAAGCAAATTTTGAAATAAGTACTTAAAAACAATTCTTCGTGTGGTTTAGCTTAGATTTTATAGTAT